AGTATTCTGAAGTTGATGATATTTCTGTGGGCATTGTCCAACACCAAACCGTATAAACTTCTGTAATGAGGAGGGATGTGGCGTAAAGGGATAGTCGCAAGGTGGGCAGAATCATTGGCAGCTTTACTAACTGAGGTATAATGGGAACAAAAATAAGTGATTTAATTGACAATGAAAATGTAAAAACTGGAAAACGGATGCGGCACGTTTGAAATAGAGAAACTATTGAGGCCGGAGAATCAAGCGGTTTGTTGCAAATAGAATCCGTTAACCTCAAGTTCTACCTCAATTCCACGCTCCCTTCTAACTCCTGTGGCATCGAGCTGTGATAAAACTGAACATTTTAGAGCGGCCTTTCATCGTGGCCAGCCTGAGGCACACCTGCGAGGCGGATGGATCGTCTCGGCAAAGGAGAAGTTCTCACTGACGCAGATTTAGACGAATTTGTGAGGAAACAGGCCTTTCGTGTTGAGAGAAAACGTCTCAGATCTTTGAGTTCAGCTCGTGAAAAATGGGAGCAAAAACAAAGCAGTTTATATTTTTGTTTAGTTTCTGAGGTTCTGGCTGCCGCGTCAGTAAAAGGAAACCGACAAACTCCGCAGATGGCAGTTCTTGAAGAGATTGTGGGCTGTCATGGTGACTGAATATCTTTGCAAACGCCGACACTGTTTATTTGAATTTTATCTGCGTTACTGAAAAGTCTGGGAGACGAAACTCACTTTCCTTTTGGTAGACGTTAAGATTGGAGGTGTAGTAACGCTGTAGACCACCTGAGGGCGCTGTATTCATTAAACAGGTACTTCTGAGGGATGTAATTTGTCTAAAACCACAAACCTACAGAATCAAGACTTTTATTTGATAGTCAATAGTTGTGTGTATTATTTATATGTGAATCATGGTTAATGTGAAAGTTTGAAAGTTGTGTTCACCCAAATACGACATCGGATTGACAAAATGATCGGTATGCTTATATATAAATGCTTATATTGTATCGGTATGCTTTGACACTGTGGTGCTTCCTGTTTGATATGCGGTGCTGTTTGGAGTCTGTAACCACGTCGCTGCATCCATGTAATTTTTGAAGCTTAAATTTTTTTGCTGCTGTTCATATAGGAAGTCGTATCTGGTACCTGCACGTTTTATAGACTTTCTATTAGATGTGAAGCTTTCTTGTTTTCATTTGTATGCTGTTGTGTATCAATTAACAAGCCGTCCTTATGCACTGATATGTATCCTGACTTCATTAATGATTAATAAAACTTGTGGGAAGCATGAAGTTGTTGTTTCTGGTGCTTAAATTTTTGCAGTCTTTGTAACAACACTTAAACATTTTATTGCCTCTTGGTGTGAAATTAATCTTGTGACCCGTTTTAAATATCACAGAGGTGCGTGTTAATGTGTGAAGGCGATTATGGTGGTGAGAAGTTACAGTCTGAGTCGGACATATGTGAACATCAGCCCTCTTTTCTTGAATTACTTAGAATTTGAACATGTATTTCTGGTACAGTATGCATGAAGAGTTGTAAGTCGTCTGGTGTTTCAGTTACTGAGCACATTCCTACACGTCTGACAATCAGAGGGTTGCCTGGTTCTGGCATTTTGAGTTTTAAAGTTCAGCTCATAACACACCTGTGGAGGGCGCCGCTGGTGTCTCACCGACGGTGAGAGGTGCGTTAGCGCCACCTACTGGACTGTGATGTGAAACAGTGTCAGGATCAGATAGTTTTTACATATATCTTTAATTCATATTTAGATAATCGAGTATTATTCTCTGCACCTCTTATTATATTAATCACACATTACTTTATGTTTTGATAAGTTGGTGTTACTCTCCTCACCGTTTATTATTATCTCAATCTCACATTATTATCTTAAAGCATAATCAACACAATTGATAAACAATTGCAGCATGAGAAAGTGGAGACAGGATTTGGTGGTTTGTGTATTTCTCTGTCACAAGCAGGAGGAAGAAACTGAAGGTGCAGAGTTTCTGCACCTACGAGATGATGGAAGAAGGCTCAAGGACATGGAGGAACCAATCAGCTGGTGGCAACACATTCTGTGCACATCCTCATGTAATAGTATAAAAACACTGGATCAGGGAGAGGCAGTCGGTCAGACTTCGTGCCCTGACATTAACTTTGTTGATGCCAGGGTGAGAAGTTTGGTCCAAAGCTCTGTGTGCTTATTCAACTATCTGATAAATAAATACACTGAGTGAGACCTAAACATCTTCTCCTATTGCTTCATTAAACCAATGCACAGGAGCAATTTCTGGTAGATTGAGATTCAGCTTTAGACAAAAAAGAGAATAATAAATGAAAGTCTCTTAATTAACCCTGTTTCCTTCAGGGACGGACTGTAATTATGTAACTGGATGTTCTCCAATCTGCTAAATCCAATTAAATGTGTTTAAAAGCGTCCAGAATAATTAATCCCACGCTGAGTTGAGCTGAGTTGTGAACTCCCTCCAACCGAACGCCTCCTCGGCTGCTTCCCACCCTCGACCTTCGGCTCCACCGTGTTTTTCTGCTGATCCAACTATTATCTAGATGTTTTACAGAACAGTTTATCAGCCGTGAATACACACAGATCAAGACGTCTGTACTCAAAGGGGCATTTGGCAGAAAATGTACCCTGTAAGGTTTGTCATTTAAATCTGGAAGTACAAAATCTGACAACTAATGGGACACATTTATGCTTCTAACAAACTTATGGTGCAGGCCAGTGATGCAACAAGTCAGTGCTGATTGAACCATTGAGGTTAAACTGGTAAACTGTCGTCCAGTTCTTGGTTGTTTCGGCCTGTGGATAAATTTATAACCTTCTTTAATCACTGAGCTGGATGTGAGCTTTAGTTATTTCAGTTAGTCTTTACATTAAATTCTCACTTTGTACGTGATGAATAAACTGTTTTTAAAATAAAGTTGTCGGATCAGCGTTCAGGAGTTTTGTCATTTTTTATTAATTGATATTTATTCTGATGTTGTTATTTTATCCTTTTATCAGTGTTTTGCATCCAATTGCAGCGCTATCGATGGATTTTTTAAAAGAAAGACAGCCGTCGTCTGCTCAGCAAACCGCTGTTTAATAAAAAACAAGAAGCAGTTTAACGTCATGTAGACGTACCGACGCCTGATGTTTGACAACTGATGAACTAGTTAAAAAAGGGAGTCCAGATTCATGAGGAAAAACAGCTGTTTGGTATTGTACATGTTCTTTATGTAGAAAGTCAGATGTTTCCCTTGAATGTGGAAAATAACAATAATGCACAGACATAACAGGTTCTTCCAACTCTCTAAGTCGATCACTTCTAATCCTTCTTTCAGTGACAGTATAAAGTTGTGACATTAAGCATCTTGAACTCAGCTGCTTTCACACAACTTTGTTCAAATCGGCAGAACTTTACTGTAAATTGTCCTTCTGTGTACATTTTTTTGTATAATGCAGACTTTTAGCGTGCATTTGTTTTTATCTGTTTCTGTCTGAGCGTTATCTCTGAGAGGATCCAATGTCTGAAACGTGACAACGCTTTACGAGTGACGATCGCGCTCACTGATACGATTTATGGCACCAACAGTCCGGTGTGTACATGCTTGATGTAACCTGAAGCCTTTGTTCGGCTTCCTCAGCTGTTTTGTTTTTGTCCTTTCAAAATACGGCAGAACTTAAAGATTCAGCTTGAATTTGAAATTTTGTGAAATAAAAGTGTTAATATGTAGATCTTCCAATTCAGAATTGTTGTTCCTCTAACATATTGTTCTGAACTTCCTCTGATGAAGACCAACACGGGTTTTAAACTAATCTGAGTTTACATACACAAACTATCAGCTGTTTCTTGTATTAAATATCCTCATGTAGCATCTTGTTCACGCCGCTACACCCTTTAATGCCAGCTGAGAAAAAATCCTGACTAAAGAAAAGCTGTGGATTTAGAAAACAGGAACTTTAAGCGCATCATAATGCGAAGGTGCCGATATTGCTATTACAGTGTGTTGTGGGGGTTCTTGTCTGAGGGGTTGCAATCATTAAAAAAAAAAAAAAACAAACACAAATCTGTCTGCTGTGATTGGTTAAATACAACTAATTAACTGTAAGGTTGCAGAAGGCCTCTGCTGCACCTTATCTCGCAATACAAACATCTGGTGCACGTCTCCGGTCGTCCACCAGATGGCAGTAAAGTGCACAAACCTGACTGAGCTGTTAAAAAGTGGAGTTTTCTTCCACTTGGACATTACCCGCATCACAGCAGTAAAAGTCAGGATTTAACAAAGTAGGAATGAACATCATCAGATTAAAATCTACGCTATCCATGCTAGCGCCACTTAAAAACGATTTTCTGACCATATTTCCTCCTGTTTTGCCGTTTTCTTCCGTTTCCTGCCTCGTTTATATCTGCCACAAGCAGCATAAATCAAATATGTGCGACTTCAGGAGGAGGAGTCGCCTCAAATGATGACGGGTTTTATGTCTACATGCAAAAAGACGAGTGCTGACCCTAACCCCCCAAAAACCCAACTAGCAAGTCTGTTTGACTGCACGATCCAAAACCTCTGCAGACCTTCATATCTATAGTGCTGTAGGTTGCTGCTCGGAGGTGATGGTGGTTTGTTGTCGCGAAGAAAACAATAAGACGCAGAAAGGAAGCTGAATAAAATAAGCGTCCAATGGGGTTATGGGTTATACCTACTTCCTGTGAGTCTGATTATAAACTCCCAAATCACTGAGGAACTACGGTGCGCCCAAAGTGTTGGCAATTAACGTGTCCTCGTTAGTTCTCACGGCTAGTTACGTTCTTTATCGCACAAGCCGAGGGAACCTACACCAGGACAGAAGGAATCATCGGCCTCCACAAGTGCTTCCTGGGTTTGTAGACCCCTGGTGGAGGCTTCCAGAAGGACGTCGCTGTTGTATAGTTGGAGACGCAGGGTTGTCGGGTCGTGTCCCATAGTTATAATTTAAGGTTTTTTGGGTGCATTAGGCCCGTTTTGCTCGACCTGAGAGTCCCAGGAAATGGTGAACCCATACAGAGAGCAACAACTGGACAGAGCAAAGGTGGAAAACAGGGAAAAGTTTAGGGATTCAAGGGGCTCCTGCTTCACTGTGGGGGGTACTTCTGCTGGTTCACCTCCAGAAACCCCTCAAGACTTTAACTTCCTCCAGATAGTCGAATTTGATCGTCTTCTTGGCATATTCAACGGTAGTCCAACTGAGGTTTCATGTGAATGAAACCGGCTCCACTCCTTCCATCACTTCCTTGAGGTTTTGTAATCATCTTCCCCTCAGAACCCAAAGATTTTTGCTTCCCTGGATGTTTATATTTTTGTTATTTGCCACCAGTTGTAGCTTGAATTTTACTGTAACGTGTCTTAAACAAAAAGCACATGTTCATGAAATTATTTGTGGATGTATTTTAACAAATTTATTCAAAAAGCATTTAAAAAAAAAATCTTTAGACATGAAAATTCACAGCCACATTTTCACTGTTATCAATAACACGGGAAAAGTCTGTCAAATAAGAAGGAAGTGTTTTTTTTCACAGTGACATAACAGCAGCGTTGCACAATCGTGGCCGTGCGTGTTCCTGATGATCACTTTTACTCATGCGGGAGTCACAGCACTTGAAGGAGGAGGCAGAGTCATCGACTAGCGCTGCCCTTTCTCCCTGCTCCTCTTATCTGGCCTTCAGTCACAGAACTGGGCTGAATGCTCTCGCCGAGCACTGAACAAACTGCTCTCTCACTGTCCAAGTCATTGATCTGTGCAGTGTGACTCGCTGCATTTTCCTGCTCTGTGGTCTGGACGCCGGCAGCAGCTGCTTTTACTGGATTATCTGACATCAGCAGGTGGGGGAAGATCTATTTATGTTCATCATATATTTATTATATTTATCTTCATCCTGGTCTGGTTGAGATTGATCTACATCAGGGCGGCTCTAGAGCTTTCATTTCTACTGAATGAGGACTTCGCGTGCAGCAGAAAAGGGGAAACAAGCACGAGCTGATTCTGACTCGTCTTGAGCAGCCTCCTGATTGTGCTTAATGTGATTTACAGCCACAATTTGTGAGCAACCCGTCCAAGCTGAAGAGTCTCGCTACCAGTTGTAGTCATTAGTTCAGACGCTGTGATGTTGGGTCAGCAGAAGTGTCCTGATTGCTTTTTGACAGTTTTAGGGAGCTTTCCTGAACTTTAGTCGACCAGTTTTTGTGCTCGAACCAAATGTTTATTTGAAGGCAAACATCTTCCTGCCAAAAGTGGCCTCAAACAGTAGAAGGTCATACAGGTCAATGTGGACGGTTCAGCTGCTTGATAAAGAAATCTGAAGCCAACAGTCAGTTTGTTGGCTGTTCTGGAGGCTGTGGCGGTTCGACGTGGTCGTCAAACTTGAAGCGCTTCTCGTCCGTGTTGGCTTCGAAGTGAGTCCACTCTCGATGGTGGAAATATCAGAAACAAAACATCACTGACTTCAGGAAGCTGTCTTGAATCGTAGCATACTGGTACAAGATTCATCAAAATAGACGAGATTTCTTCTTTATTTTTTAGCAGGTTTTGGTTTTGTGATGGAACTGACCAATGTGTTTAGGAAGGAAAGCATTCAGTTTCCTCAAGCCGACACACTCAGAAATGCCCGATAAACTTTCAAGACATACAAAGTTAATTTAAAAAGAAGCCACACCGTCCGACTGGCTGTCATTATAGCACATGAAAGCTTGAAAAAACCTTAAAAAACAGAATTTCTTGCCATCTGTTGAACCCTAGTTAATACAAAAGAATGTCCATTGTATCAAATATAATTCTATTTGATGTTTTACTTGAGTCGAGTAAAAAGATCTTTCCTAGAAAGCACAAGTTAATCATTCAAACTAGAATCACCACCAGTTAGATGTTTGAATGGAGACATGAAGTCATTGCAGTTGGAGAGATGTGCAGTTTTTGCATCGATGGTCAAAATAATGTCATTAATCAATAAGAAGCTCTTTGGCCGTGGAAGCAATCAGCTGAGTTACGTCTGCAGGCTGGTAACCGGATAAGCTCGCTAATGTTGGCTTATGCTGGAGCCACAGACTTAAAGATGGACAGAGCCTCCGAATCTCAAGTTAGAATTGTGATATGTTATCAAAACCAACGTATATGTGCACCAATTAAATTTCATTTAAAAAAAAAAACAACAACAAATTCATAACCAGGAAACCAAGGGTGACTCAGCTTTGATCAAAAGCCATTTCACGAAAATCCAACAAAGATCCAACAAGACCAACAGTGTGTCTGCATCTGTTTAGAAAATGCTGCTTTTACTCCACATACACAGGACGTGTTGGTAACTGTAAAACGTTCCTTCAGGGTTCTGCGTTCAGGAGGAACGACGGTGAACGATGTCGAACAGCAAAGCGACGATGGAGATGGGGCTGAACGGGACCTCCAAACACCAGGTACCTTCCCCTCTCCGTGCCAGATGTTCAGAATCCACCTGTGTGATCCGGGTTTTGGGGTGAATTAACTCGTTTCTCAGCCTGCAGGCTCGAGTCGACGCGGCGCCACCGTCAGCTTCCACAACATTTACTACAAGGTGAGGCAGGGAGGAAGCTGCTTGTGCCGGAAGAAGGGGACGACCAAAGACATCCTCGTGGACCTCAAGTGAGTACAATCCAGAACGGATCACGAGACACTGATTGTGTGTGAGAGACTGTATTTTAAAGCGAAACAAGTGCCTCAATGTCACAGAAAAGCTAATGGACAAGCAAATGCTAATCCATGCATATCCAGACGGGCGTTGGTGTGGCTCTTACATGAACTAATGACTTTAAAGCTCAGCACGGTGCCGCTGGTCGTCAGTCCTCCTTAATTATGCAAAACTTTAACCCCTAATACAGTTACAACAGGTGCGTTAATTAATAATTTACCCCCCATACAGGTATCAAGAGCAAAAAGATTAGCGCTAGAGGCCAAAACCATTTTCCATACCAGGATGTAAATGAGTTTATTCCTGCTGTAAAGTTGGACGTTTTAACATAGAGGTCTATGAGGTTTGACTCACGTTTGAAATCAGCCTCAAGTGGCCGTTTGAGGAACTGCAATTTTTGGCTTTTCAGCCGTAGAGGTCACCGCTTCATAAAATGTTTACATTGACCAACATAATCAGTAATTACTGATAATATTCAAATGAGCTATTTGTAATATAGGTTAGGTTAATTTTAAGTTTAACCCCTTTAGCCTTTTTCTTAAACAAGCTACACTGTTTTGTTCGAGGCGTGTAGGATGAAATATTCACTTCAGTCATTGTCGAATGTAACTGATAACACTGTCAGGATTTATTTTAAATAACAACCAGGAGAAAAAAGGCTCAGTTGAATTTTAAAAACAAACCTCCATACTGGTGAGCTGATACGTCATTTTTAAACATGATTTTCTCTCCATCTGCACCCATTTTCTCATTGCTTCTGTTGCTGTATCGTACGACACCAAACAAAAACTGTGATTGGCTGTTTGTGCGTCACTCGTTGGGATATAATTGGCTGTTCATGAGGCGGGGTGGGAGCACGCTTGGTGTTTGTTTATGGAACCAAACTTGTGTCTAAAATTGCATATACATGAAACTAGCGAACCTGTTCTTGCTTCTTTATGGTTATTGTTTTATCGCCCAGGCTTAGCTGTCCTGGGTGCAACCATAAAGCTTTTTAAACCCTTTTTTCTGTGTCTGACGTTGGCCAGAGGTGCACGTGTGCATCTCAAAGTTCACGCTACTTCAATTTAATGCAACTCAGATTTTCTTCATCCTGCCGATTCCACTGACGCAAAATCTCGTAATTTTAAAGTTCCAGCTCGCCGCCCCCCAACACAAAGACACTTTTTCAGCCGTCGAGCTCCGAGTTTAGCAAACCAACGCCGCTCGATCTACCACGTGTGCAGTTATTGTGCGGTTGTGTGTCTACGTGCCGACAGAAATCCCACCTGGCAGGCAAACGTGATGCGATCAAGGCCCGCTCGGATCAAACACCCCCACATGTTTGGAGGCAAAGGAAGGAAGTTTGCTTTGTGGAGAAACTCAGGCTCCCACTGCACACACAGAAGACAATGACTGTGGGCTTAAACTAACAAACAGGCACGGCGGCAGGATGCTCAAGCGCCTCAGCACCTTTCGGCTCAGTGAGAAAGTTCGCAGTGTTCAATTCACAGAAAGACGCTTGAATTCTAGTAACCTGAAGAAGTCCAGGAACCACGTTGAGGATTTAAGGTTCTAGGGATGGGAGTGTTGGCGCTAGTCCAACGTTTTGGTCCAAAACAAAATAAATCATCAATGAATTACGATAAGACATTCATGGTTACCAGACAGACCTCTGATTTAACGCGATGTTCAGGCTGACACGTGAGGATCTGACAGAAATAGCTCAAGAAATACTGAATAGATTGCAATAAAAGTACCAGAGATATTCACGTTACTGTCAACAGCAAACAAAAGAAAAAACTTTGAGACTTTGAGAACTGCCTAAACTCAGACATTCATGGAACCACACTACGTAAATACTTTAGAATGAAAAATAGATGACATGTATATCTATAAATAACATGATCCGTTGGTTTTTCATAAAGCGCCATCATGTGGTCGAAATTCTTGCCGTCAAAATACCAACTGCACAGCTGCTCAATACAGATTATTAACGCTGGGCTAAAATGATCACAAAATAGTCCCGTTACGTTCATACCGAAAGTGTTTTTAGACTTTAATTTTGTCAAGCTGCCAACGTTTCTGGGCCTCAACAACGCCATTTTGATGGATGGACACAATTGTAATTGCATTAATTATTAACAAGGAAGAACCAAAGTTAATTTCTGTGATCATTTATTTTACAAAAATGGCAAAAACCTTGAATCAACAACATTTTTACACCCACAGGTGTTACCAATACTGGAAATATTTACATTTTTATAACCTCGACAAGGTCTTTGTTTTCACTCTGCTCATCAGCTGTAGAAGGTGTTCCACCATGCTGACTGTATCTTCAAACAACTGGCTCCTCTGTTCACCATTTCCTAGCCATGCCGTATTTATTTTATCGATCCAGTATGTTGGATTTTCCTCTCAGTCTCTGGTTTACTACCTGTTTCCTCTGAAAAGTCTCAGAATTTTTGTTGGGTGACTGTTGGGTGCATCGTGGGTTCTCAATTGTACAGAATTTTTTGTACATTTTTACAGAATCTGATTAATGGAAGTGGCTCATGTTTGGCCATTTTTTACATGAAACGATATGATAAAGTGACATTAATGTCACATTTTCAAGCTTAGATTTGATTCATTCTCTCCGACCGAACACCACGTGGCAAGAGATTAGTTGTGGGATTGATTTTGAAAGTTGACAAATGTGATGATTCATTCTGTTTTTTTGGGGGGGTTTTAATAGAGGTAACGTGCCTTTCAAACCTGCTGGGATAATTTTGGTATTCAGAGGATTAAAGTGAATAACTGTCACAACAACAGTAGCTGTGAAAATCTACTTCAGGTTCCACCATGCTGAATGGACCTTCCAACAGCTCGCTGCTCTGTTCACTGTCACTGAGCCGTGCTGCGTTTATGTAGAATTAAGATTGAAAATTTTCCCTCAGATTTATCCGACTAAATCCACTTATTTTTTTAATAGTTTTTTCTCTCATACATGGTGTCATTTGGGGAACTTCAGAGCGCTAAAGCGGAGATGCAAAGGATTTAAACGTAGTTTTGCTGCAGTGTTTCATCCTGTAAAATCAAAACACTGTCATTGATCGTAAAAGGGGGAAAAAAAAGCAGTCGCCTCAACACGTGTCTTCACTGTACGTCTGAAACACCAGCACACAACGCTAAACAATCACAGTCTTTTATTGCACGCTGTTATGAAACTCATCAAAGCCTCTATTATGTGTGTATGTTATGAAAAACTGCAGTCGGCCAAAGTGCAGCATGTGCGCGGCTTTACTGCTATCTGTGGTATTTTATTATCCAGTGTGTGTAATCATTGACAAAGTCGAAGGCAGGTGCGGTTTATCTGTTCACGTGAGAACGACGGCTGCAGCCTTTAAAAACCTCCTTTACTGTCATTTACTGTGAATGCAGCGTCTCTGCCTCCAACTGTTACTCAAACGTTGGGATGAAACTGCATTCGGACCAAAGTTTATGGTCAGTGAAGGTCGAACAGATTGTTTTATTACAGGACGATGACGATGATTAAACTGAATGGGATGCAGATTCCACATTTAACTGCTTGTCTTATAACTTTATGCATTTTCTACATGAACTGTTTTCCTTTTTTTTTAGTGGATTTAGCTCCAAAACCCGAGTTTAATGGTGGAATAAATCCACCACAGTTCTGTTTAGGGATAGTTCTGCCTTCAGAGCTCTATAAAATACAGGAAAATGGACCACCACCCTGTTTTTTTGTCCTGCTGGGTGCGGTATAAGAGCCCATACGATGCAATGTGACTGTAAATCGTGTATACGTGTGATAAAGATGCAGTAAAACCTGTTATCACAAGGAGGCTGGATGTTAAACGTTTGGTTTGAGGGGTTAAATGTGAGACGGTGGGACTTGCTGAGCCTGTAAAAACCATGTGGACGCTCTAAAATGAGCGCCATGTTGGACGTGGGGGTTGTTTTTCACTTATCAGATGTACAGTTTGACGTTTCTCATACAAGAACAAAGAGAGACGAAGATTAAAACTGGGGAAAGGAAGAGAAGGAAGAATAGAAAGACATGAAAAAAGGCATGAAAGAAACCGAGGAATAGAAGGAAAGGTGTGAAAAGATATAAACGATGTAACGGTGATGGGAGGGAAAAGGCTTGAAAGAAACAGAAGTGAAAGAAAAGACATGAAAAGACAGAAGTGGAGTTTAAAAAAAAGGATGACGTGGCGTAAAAAACCCACAACAATGTAAAAAGATGAGACGACCGGATGTGGAAAGAAAAGCTTCTGTCATGGAGTCATCAGAGCAAAGTTGCAGCGTCATGTTTTCGTCTCTGAAAATAAACTGCAGCGTCATGTTTGCTGAATCAATGACCCGACTGACTGAGGAAGTCATCTTCCGGAGCGTAAACCACAAGATGAATCAAACTGTCGCTGCACAGCGATCTGCTGACTCATGACCCGGCAGACGTTTCATAGCGAGAAGTCTTAATATCAGGATGAGCAACAAGCTTCTCTAAAGCTTCATGAAGACTAAACGTTGGGGTGTCCCTGAAGCCCACGTATGTCCGCCATCAGACGTCTCATTTCAAGTTCTTCAGCTCAACTGTCTGAATCCATCCCTCGTGTTTCAACTGCATGTTTTCTTGAAAATCACCAAAATAATATTTATCAGAAACTAGAAAAAAACAGCAAGAATCACCGGATTTCTAAATTTCCGACGGCCCTTAAACTAGTCATCTGTTACGTACAGTTCTGTCAGTAAGAAATGAACCAAATCTGAGCTTAAAATTCGTGATATTTCATTAAAATCGCTTTATTCCACGAGCCTCATTTTAAACCGTTTGCACCAGATTCTACAAAAATATTCGGCCTTGACTCCTTCTGCTGCGACCAACAGGCACAAACCAAACTTCAGGTACTTTTTAGAGCAGAGATGTGACTGAAAATAATAATAAAAACCAACATAAATGCAGCATGGCTCAGAAACGGTGAACAGAGGAGCAACAAACAATGAAATATCGATAGTTTTTCCAGTATTGGGAGCAGCTGTTGGCATGCAGAAAAGTGTTCAACATGTTTATTCCAGTTTTGTAAAATAAATGATCACAGAAATTCCACTTTAGTTTTTACTTTTCCACAAGGATTTATGGCGCTGTAATGATGTCGGCTACCGAGCAATGTGACAGCAGCATCAACACCCTGCTTCGGCTTCAGAGGGTTTAAAGACGTACGAAGAAAGTGAAAATGAATGAAGGGCCAACAGACAGCAAAGACAGACCGAGGCGTCGAACAGGAGGACAAACAACTCTGCAGCCCTGTATGACATTTGCTGAGTAAATGACCCGGCAGACTTTGGACTTCCTCCCTGTGGTCCTCAGCACAAAAAAAACCTAAAAATGACTCAAACTGTTGCGAAACAACCCAACAAAGTGCGGTTTTGTTTGTTTCCATCTGGCTGAAATGGGAGAGAAAAGCACTTTCAGTTCCTGAAAAACAAGTCGACGGATCACCTGTAGTCGCCACATTCACCTCTGAGAAACCGAGAAGTGAAACTGCTGCGTCACTGTAGTAAAAACCAGTAGAAGCAGGAAAGCCCTGCTCCAAACTGAAGTCATCATGTCTTTTGCATCTTTTTTTCCTTTCTTTCAGTGGGATCATGAAGCCGGGTCTGAACGCCATCATGGGAGCGACGGGAAGCGGCAAATCATCGTGAGTGTTGTAGGAAAAAAAAGAGCTTCTTAAACATTTGTCAGGCTCCAATTTAGAGCAAATTTTAGCCAAAATTGATGGAAAATTGGAACCCAAAATCATAATTAGTGCCGTTTTCCATCCATTGGGTAATGAGAGAAGTAAGAGCTGGTCCATCGAGACAAACAGCTGGTGGCGCTGGTCCTCTAGTCGACGTAGAAGAAGATGGTTGAAGAAGGACTTGATCCACATTTCAACAGGAGCTGAAGCTCAGTTTGTTGCTTGCGGCTGTTTCGGACGATTTCCTCTGAGCTGATTAAACACCTGCAGCAGGAAACAGCAACAGTCTCTGAGCAGCAAGTTGCTGAACTTTGGGTTAAACTGTGAAGCAATGGGAAGAAAAAAAGAAATAATTAAAGCTTCAAACCCATTTTTCATTTGGTTAACTTTCACAAAACAAATTTAACAAAGAATCAGGAACAGAAACGGCTTCACTTGGTGGCATTTTGTGAAATATTTCATTTTGAACTGATGTTATCTTATCAATGTGGTACTTTTACGGTACTATTATTGGTACTTCTAGATGTTGTTTTAAAGAACAAAAGCCATAACACAATAGGAACAGAATTAAGACTTAAATCTTGACGTTCTTCTTGGTGCTTCAGAGTGAATTAGTCGAACACCGTGCTTCAGTTCCCAACTCCACTCTGAGCCCGCCTTGTTTTGCTTTTTCTTGCAGCTTCTTGGATGTTTTGGCGGCCAGGAAGGACCCCGCAGGTCTTTCAGGGGAGGTCCTGATCGACGGAGCTCCTCAGCCTCCGAACTTCAAGTGTTTGTCTGGATACGTGGTGCAGGTGGGTGAAGCAGGCAGGAGGGCAGATCTACAAGTCAGACGGGCTCTGATTCCTTCTGAGGACAAATCTGTCGTAGAGGTCTCAAGTAGGAACGTTTGCTTTCTGTCTTGCAGGACGACGTGGTGATGGGAACTCTGACGGTCAGAGAAAACTTCACCTTCTCGGCGGCGCTGCGTCTCCCGTCCACCATCAGTCAGGAGGAGAAGAAGCAGAAGGTCGACAGACTGATCCAGGAGCTGGGACTGGGCCGAGTGGCCGACTCCAGGGTGAGGAAAGAAAGTCACAAAGCATCACTTGTTTAGAGCAATTTGTGCTCAACCATCTCTGGTTTGCCTGAAATGTTTCTGTCATAATGTGTATTAAGATGTTTCTGAAAGTTTATCCTGATGCATCGAATACTTTCTGAGATCAAGTAGAAATCTTTTTTTTTTAAAAAGCTGCCCATTGACCTTCTTTCAGCAAGTTTATTTTTCTGCACATTGACATTTGAAGCTGTTTAAACCACAGAAACTCAAGATAAAAGTCTCATCTTTGAGTTGACATGAACAAACAACTGAACCATTTTAAACACTCATCTACCAATATTGTTTTTTCTGTGGTAGTCCAATGAAAATAGCTTTTTAAAGTTCACTTGTTGACTTCTGCATCATCGATTTTGATGTTAATATGATCTCAAAGATGGAACTTTTCATGACAGCTTTAATGTTTTTCAAATATTTCAACGCACCCATAATCAGGTTATTTGATCTATTTGTCCAGTATTGCAGATTCTGAATCAAAAACATGATGAGAAATAACTGAAGATTTCAGGTTTTTATCTTTAATAGTTCCTCAAATGCTGTTGTTCAGACTCAGAGAAAAGCGAAACAAAGCATCAAAAAAGGCACAAAGAGTGAGTTAAAAGAAGTGAAATTGAAAAAAACGCCGTGAACAGAAGGTTTAAGGAGACGTATCGAGGGAAGGAACCAAGAAAGACTCAGCAGACGTGTGATCCGCTGTGTGTTTGTGCAGGTGGGCACTCAGCTGATTCGCGGGGTTTCCGGCGGCGAGAGGAAGAGGACGAACATCGGCATGGAGCTGATCATCGACCCGCCCGTCCTCTTCCTGGACGAACCCACCACCGGCCTCGACGCCAGCACGGCCAACTCCGTGCTGCTGCTGCTCAAGAGGTGAGCGCGAGCGGTGCACAATCTGTGAGGAACCAGATGCAAACTTTACAAGGTTAACAAATCCAGACGACCAGTGGGATCCAAACATAAGCTACGAGCTGTGCACAGAGCAGCAGGCAGCTTCTGGTGTTTCAATCTGAAAATGGCACATTAAAACTCCACAAACGTCCTCTTCGACTGTCATTGTCATGACTCACTGAAGCACCAGACATTTTAAACGTGCTTTAAATCATGAAAAAAGGCCAAATGTCATGTTTTTTGCTGTAATGTCGCCCTACAACTCTTCGTTTAGCCCCGCCCCCTCAGGTGAACCATTTAGAGTAAACAGCCGCCTCACGGTCAAACAGCTTTATTTACTTTCTACGGCTTCTTCTGGTAGCTCTAAGATATCTAAACCTGGTTCAAAAACTCACCAATTGTTCTGGCTGCAAGAGTGAACACAGAGGTCTTCATGCACTGCCAGCATCTGAGGCACTGAACACCCAGCGGGTTAGTTTTATGTTGGTCGTTAGCGGCACCACAACAATCAGAAATCCTTCGTATTAGGAAGCTGAGCGGCTAATGAGGCTAACATTAGCTTTGTCCACAGCTCAGAGCTCCGTGGAAACTTTAAACTAATAAACAAGCACTGGAGGGGCTTCAGTTCAACCTGAACTCTGCTGTTTACATCCGTTTTTACATCCAAAGACACTTTCCGGGAACCTGTCCGACTTGTGAATTCTGAATGAATAAATCCATGTTGGTTTGTTTTCCTTTTTACAGAATGGCGAACCACGGTCGCACCATCATCCTGTCCATCCACCAGCCTCGATACAGCATCTACCGCCTGTTCGACAGCCTCACCCTGCTCGTCAACGGCAAACAGGTCACTCACACCGGCTGCCTCTTGACGAACTTAACAAGAAACTCTTCACGGTCTCGATCTTGTTAACCGTCGTTTTCTGTGTAACTGTAACGATCAGGTCTACCACGGCCCTGCACAGAGAGCACTGGAGTACTTCTCGGAAATCGGTAAGAACGTGAGCTCAGCTTTGACCCGATATGACCCGACATGACCCGACATGATGGAAAGGGGATGTTTGTAACTCTGCTGGGAAACTCTACTTCCCAGGATACACCTGTGAGGCCCACAACAACCCCGCAGACTTCTTCCTGGACGTCATCAACGGAGACTCGACCGCCGTCGCCCTCAGCAACCCCGACAAAGACGGTGAGTTTGTTCATGTGAGGACCAGAAGGCGGCGGTGGAAGAAGTCAAGGTAAAAGTGGAAGAACAGTGGAAGATAGATTGATGTCATCGCCACGTTACTGGTGATGCATGTTTGGATTGGATTGGGTGAGATTCCACAAACGCTTACAGACGTCGGGAAAATTCAGTTTTTACTCCCTGTATGAATAAGTCAGGCTGGACTGATGTCTGTCAAGGTTCTGCTGTCTTATCTTGTTGTGACGTCTCATCAAGTGACACCTACCAAACCCACAGGAATCATTAATCATTAATCATTAGTCACAGTCACATACTCGCGGTTTGTAGTAATCTGTTCTTTGTGGTCGAATGTGGACGGACAGAGTTTGTTTTTGTGGAAGATTCTCAGCTGAAAAACTGATTCTGAACTAATTTTAAGAGCCTCCATCAGCTTTTTGAACTCCAAGGAAGCTTTCCAGGAGAGTTTTGTGGGATTTTTAATGCTAGCAGATGAAATTCATCGACTGTTCCGACTCTAACTTGATATATTTAGTTAGTTTTCTGGTTCTGCTTTTAAACGATCTGCTCGTTCAGGTTCGTCTTCATGCTGCCGTCAAAACCCTCCAACTGAAAGCTCGTAGAATAAATAGTAGAACAGCACCACCTGCAGGTCAAACTGGAATAAGCACACATCACTGCAGTCAGGTCAGTGAGTGCTGCAGGTGTTTTCATGTCTGACCAAACACCTTTAAATCCAAACAAAACTTTGAACACGCTTCAGTTGTTCTCGGCTTTCAGTTTTGATTTTAAACACAGTTTTATTACAGCAGCTGAGGAAACTGTTCCAACAAGCGTCGGCTGAGCATTAATGCAAGTCAGTGTTTAAAAGACATTCCCACAGGTAATCAGCCATTGGATTAGTAGTGATGCTTTGCCTGTCAGACTCTACTCAGGGCAAAGTAACAGCTGACTTCTCCCCAATACGCTGCATAGTTCAGATAACACACTTTGATGTTTGTGTGATTACGAGTGAGAAAACTGATGACATTTAACTAAAAATGAAAGTAAATGACAGAACTCTTGATCCAATAAACAATCATTTATTAGCCTTTAAGTTCAACCACCACCTTTTTTTAAATTAATGCATTTTCAGAAACACATGCCTGTTATTATACAGCTCAAGAATTCAGATTCCTTTTTTATATTTTAACAGCTCAATTTTAAAACCCAACGACATTCAGTTTGTTGTCACACATGAAGAAGAAAATTACTAATCAATCTGTTCTCTCATCATCTCACTGACTGATCGCTGCAGCTCCAATGTGTTTCTACATTTGATTCAATGACAATCATGAATAAAACCCTTTACAGCAACTATAGAATAAAACTATTCATCAATATGATCAAACATTTACACAATATGAAGAGTAGTATGATTGAAATATGTAGATGTGGGTTTAATCACTGCAGTATTATTTTCAGACACCTTTCTCTGTTATACTTACTCATGTTTTGTTACTTAACACACGTCTTATCTAGTTTTCATCACTTTAAACATCACAAAGGAAGCATTCCTTCTGTAATCACCGTCCTGAACTTTATCTGCTAAAATCTACTTTATAGAACAACAGAAGTGAACTACAGATCATGGACCTAAATCAAAGCTGAACACAAACCGACCCA